AAGGTGGGCAGTGGGAATGGGACCTGTACGGCAGGGTCAGGATGGAGGCACAGAAGTGGTGCCGACCTCGGCATTTGCAAGGATGGGGAGCAGGGCTGCGGCTGGAGCCGGGAAACTTCCCGAGTGCCGAGCTCCCATTGATTTCAGTCTGGCTTAAATCAAGTTTGAAAACCAGATTGCTGGAGACCATCCTTAGCTGTCTCGGGCATGGAGGGCAATCCTGTGAGCTGGAATTGTCACTTTGCCCCCAGCTCTGGTAGCACAAACTGCTGGCTGCTGCCTCTCCCCCGGGTTTCCCCACAGCCCAATGCCCCTGCAAAGTCAGCCCCATCTTCAGAGGACAGTGCGCGGTAAGACCGTGCCTGTGAAAGCAGGTGAATTATCCATGCGCCTCTGCTGAAAGGTGCTCTGCCCGTGGTGCAGGGGTTGCAGAGAATGTCCTGCTGCGATTGCTAGCCGGGGTGGATGAAATAGATGCATTGGCTTGGCTGGTAATAAAGCACAATCTCTTTTCCCCTCTCTTTGCTTAGCCACATTGGGAACGCTGGAGTTCAGCTTGCTGTATGACCAGGATAACAGCTCTCTGCAGTGCACTCTCATCAAAGCCAAAGTAAGTGCCTCCTCGAAGGGGAAGACTCTGCCCATTGCTTTGATCTTCCGGCAGCATCTGATGCAAGATCGTACGCTTGCTCTACATGCATGAGGCAGCCTCCTCCCTTGAGAGAGCATGTTTCACAGGCTCTCACCTTTATTTTCACATGCTTCCTGACAACCAGCCTGGTTTTCAGCTAAGCAGGCACAATGAAGCCGAAGCCAGCTCCACCTTCTGCTCCTGAGTCTCCTGCGCTGGAGACCCAGACCCAGACAGGTACATTTGACCTGCATTTCTGTAGTGACTGGGGAACTGAAAGGCCACGTCTTTTCCTTAAGGATGACTTGCAAGATTGTCCGTCCTGGCTCACAGCAGATGTGGGAAGAATTTGGCTTGAGGTGGGCACACACTTTAAAGGTGTCTCACGGCTCAAACAAAACGACTGGTTGCAGAGACATGCCAAAGGCAGGGGCTGTTCTGCATCAGTGGCAGGCCACGTTCCTGTGGGACTGGTGCTCTAGGGAGTATGTGTGACCCACCTTCTGCCATGCAGCAGGAGGCTTTTAGGAGCATGTGGGGCAAGCAGCAGGGCTTGGCCTTGGTCTGCCTGCTAATAGTGGCAAGTGGTCCAGCTGGGACCTTCCCCTGGGATAAGTCAGTCCCTGGCATCGTTATAACTTGCCTTTTGTCATGAGCTTGAGCATCTCCTTTGCGTGTGACTGCTACAGAAAAGAGGGCTGCAAAGAATAGCTAAGTTAGTCGATGTAGGGCTGTTAGGTCCCTGAAATGCTCCAGGGAGGTAGGCAGTTGACAGTGTGATGTGCCGCTGTGGTCAAAGATGTTTTTAGAGGGCACCTGAAAGAAAGCAGGTGAGTATTACCTGCTGCGTTTCAGCCGATAATGGAAACTTCAGCCTGTTTCCGAGGCCCCACATGCCAGGAACTAGCATCATGCATTTGCCCTCAGCCGTGCTGGAGTCTCTTGATGTCTGCTGTGGATCGGTGTGCCTCTGAGACCCACAGTCCACTGTAATTATCCGCCTGTTTGCTCAGCATAATTGATTTCCCACAGCCACCTCGGGGGTTTATCGAGGTTTTCTCTGCCCGGGGACCGCGGGTTGATTATAGCAGCTGCAACTATAACAGTCGCTTGACTCCCACAGCAAATAACGGTGGGGCTTCGTTCCATCTCCTTTAACCACCGACAGTGGGCCCTGGGACGGAGACTTTGCCAACCGAGCGGGCACCTCCCACAGCAGATGAGTGAAGACTTCAGCCCTTCTCCTCCCATCATTCATGCTAGCAGGGTCCCAGTCGCTTGCCACCATGGGTCATAATCCCAAGCGAGAGCTGCAATATTTAGCTGCCACTGGGTGCTTAGGCAATGCAACCTCAGGCTCAAAGCCACGTCCGACCATGCCTTAAAACTCAGCCTTTGCTGCAGAGCGGACACGGCTGGAAAAGCTCTGAGTTTAACGGGACAGGCTCCCGTCAGAAGGCAGATCTCAGCGTGGTCCCTAGCGCTAGTCATCAGGGATAACATATTGTGCTTGTAGTGCTAGGGCAGGTCTCATCGGGCTACACATGGTACAACACACTTACTCTACATATCTTCTTATGGGCTATGTCGTGGGAGAGGGAATCCCTTGAGCACGAGATCTGACGCTCGCCCTTTTCCTGTGTCCCGCAGCAGTGAAGCGGGTCACGTAGGCATGCCCCACAAAGGAAACAGCACCACCAACTCGGAAGCAGTAAGTGCCGCAGCTCAAGCCCTGATTTCTCAAGAGCAGCTGGCAATCTGGGGCATTTACTTCCAGGGGACGGCGTCTTGGAGGGCAAGTGCCCAGCACTTCCAGAAGATCCGGTGCCTTTCAGGGGACAGGCAACCATTCTTATACTCGCAAAAGCACAGACATGGTGTTACAGCCTGTCTGTGCCCCGTAGGACCCCAGTGGCTCTCACTGAGGGTAATCGGGAATAGTCCAGTCCTGCAGTGGGGGCATATTGACATTCACATTTCCCGTCTGCTGTCAGGAGAACTGCATCGATTCCTCCACCCCCAGAAGCCACTTATTCCCATTCTTAGATGAGTAAGTGGCAGTGAAGGGTGCAGATTCATCCCATGTTGAAAAGGTCACCAGGCATTTCCGGGCCGTGCATCATTTCATGCAGTGCTGCCGCTCCCCGTGGCTTCCCTTGCTTTGGAAGAGCTCTGCCTTCATAAGTTTGCAGGAACTACTGTTGGTGAGCTGGGAGGTGCAGAGAGAGGTCTTTCCTCTGGCCAGCTCTTCAGCACCCCCGACCCTCTTGTGTGGAGGCAAACCCTCTGTCCACATGGGACATGGCTTTGTTGTTCTGCTGGACAAAATTCAGGGATAACATGAGCATATCTGTTGAGTCCTTTGTGGTTTTCAAGATGCATTTGTAAGAGCTGACTCCATTTTGCATTTGGATCTTGTGCATCGTTATTCAGAACAAATGGTGCTGTTCTTTCCCGCCCATTATCTGCTACCTCTGTTAATCTATATTGCATAAAGCATTGCCGCTAAATGCTCCCCCGTGCTGCATTTTACTAGTGACTCAAACCCTGTGTTATCTTTGTTGTCTTCTAGGGCTTAAAACCAATGGACTCCAATGGCTTGGCTGATCCCTATGTCAAACTGCACCTCTTACCAGGAGCCAGTAAGGTAACACCTTGCTTGATTGCATTATGGTTGAAATTAGGGATGGAAACGTAGCTGCTGTATGTCAGAGCTTTTTTTTCACAAGCCCTCTCAGGCACTGCAGTGCCCAGTCCGCATGAAAACAAGTGGGAACTGGCTCTCCAGATCCTGGTGGTAGTTTTGGAAATCTCAGTGTCCAGGCCTTAGCGATATTTCACAGGGTGAGAAAAGCCTATCGAGCGGCATCTGCTCTGGTCCCATAATTGTCCAGAAGAACCAAACCCAAGCAACCCCCCTCTGTCTTCACTCAGCAGCTTGCACTAGTTTTTCTGCACTGATCTCTGCATGTAGCTGGGATCCTGCATCAGTGATGGTCCAAAACATCTGGCAGCAAGTGGCGCTCATGACTCCAGCATCTCTTATGGTGGACAGTGCTTATAGACCCTGTGCAGCCCATACTGGACTACAAGAAGCGTGGGCTGCAGGAGCTCGTTTGAGATGAGCCGCACTTAACATGCTGCTCTTCTCTGGCCTTCTCAAGAGTTTACGAGGACTTTCTAGGGGCACTTCCCACCCAGACGTGATCTAGTGCAAATGCTGTTGCTGTAAAGAGATCCGAATTTGTGTAACCTGGAAGGCAAGCAGGCAGGGCGCTCAAAAACAAGGCGGCCTGCATTAATGCACCAGCGTGGCCCGACGTTGAGGGAGGGCATCGTTTCTGGTTCTGCCGGTTTCCAGCAGCTCTGAAGAACTGAGCGTTGCACGGGCCGTACTGAGAGATTAAAATCTAGTTCATGAGCACGGAGGAACTTCAGAGAAGGTGACATTGTTAGTGCAATGCAAAACATCTGACACACAATCTAATTATTACCAGAGTCTGAAAGATCAATTTACTTTGAAGTTACTGCGCGTTCTAATTAGAGCTGTGAAAAATATCCATCAAGTGAGTAAACTCCGGGTTTTTTTCCCCTCATCAAAGAAAGCTCTGTAAACTCTCACTCCCAGGACCAGCAAAATTAAATTCAGCGGAGAAAACTTGTAGGAAGAAACCAACGCTGTTGGCCTACTGCCGAAAAAAATAGATCTCCTCTGTTTGCTCTGGGGATTCAAGGCTTTTCTCTTTCACTGCCTGAGTTTTGCTTAGAGCAAATGTGAAGCCCCAAAGCCTCTAACAATAATGGTGATAAAGAAAGTTTCATTTACTTTTCCTCCTGTACTTTGGGCTCAATGTCCTTCTGGCCACCTTGACTCCCAGATCACGAACACACAGGAAATCCAGCAGACAGGCTCTGTCCCTCGTGCAAATGCAGGGTTGGCTATGGCTGGGTCTACGCTGCAGTCACAGAGGAGACTGCAGTGGAGTGCAAAGAAGCAGGATAAATCAGCCTGATCTGTGCTGCTGCAGCTCGACTGCTCCTGGTGCCCCGGCTGGCTAGTTTAACACTACCTCGGGCTCCTCTGTGCTATGCTGCAGTTCCTTTGGCCATTGCTTTGCAGACATGCCCTGTGACCCCGGTGTGTCCTGTTGTTCTTTATTTCTCATCATCTTTCCCCAGACTTGCAAAGAAGACCTCCCTTCAGCAGGGAATTGTTGGCTTTAGGTGGCTCTGTTAATCCAGGGAGTTGTTTCTTACGCAGCAGGGGGCTCTGCTTTTGCTCAGCCCAATGTGCTCGCTTAGCATCTAGGACAGCCACTTCTCCCATGGGTCAGGCATCCAGGTTGCAGCTGTATTGGTTGTATATAGAGTCATATGTATACAGAGGCCGTACATAGGGGCAAAAGGAATCAGAACTCATGGTAGAGATGGTATCTTGTATTAGACCAAATAGATTTTTGCAAAAAAAAAAAAAAATTGCAATTAAAGAATTTTTTTTTGCAAAAATCTAGTTGGTCTAATGGAAGATACCACCTCTACCACTTCTCCCATGGAGCATGAGAGGACTCCCACATTGCTAGCTGGAAAACAATTTTATTTTCTGCTTTTGCCAAGGGACAGAGGCACAAGAAAGTTCCCACTTGAAAGCATGCACTTCTTTGAACCTACTACAATCATTCCCCAAAGGACTGTATACTCCTACTATGGGGTAAAACCCTTCTTCAGCCCTCTGAGGAAGGGGAATGTGTTTAGGTTGAATTTTGATCTTAAGTGAGACCACAAATTGAATGGAGATTTTGGGCCACAGACTTTGTTGGAAAAAAAAGAAGGTAAAGGTATTAGGTGTGGTCCTGGAGGAAGCTCTGTGGGTCAGCAGACTCGGTGAACGTGGTGGGTCTGAGTAGAGAGGGCTCATGCCAGGAAAGGTCACCGCACGGTTGGGTCAAGCTCTTCCTTGTCGGCAGGGTGGGTGACTGCCCTGTGTTTTTATTCTTTACGTGCAACAGTCAAACAAATTGAGGACCAAGACTCTGCGTAACACGCGGAACCCGGCGTGGAACGAGACGCTGGTGTATCACGGCATCACAGATGAGGACATGCAAAGGAAGACGCTCAGGCAAGTGGAGGACAAAACCCCAGTGTCTTATAATGCACAGTGTGTAAGGGAGGAAGCCTTTTAAAGGAGGGAGAGTTTCACCCCAGAGCTCCCAAACCCAATTACCTTTGCAAACACTGACGCGATGGGTCAGGGATAGATCTGGCCAAAATTGTCCTGCTGGCAGAAAAAAAAGATGGTTTGTCAGCATCAAAGCTTTTCACATGAGTGTGTTGATTTTTGATGAATCATTTTGATGGAGGAAACTTTCATATATTTCATCCAGCATTTCAACTTGCTCTTTTATTTTGGATTTTTGCCTTGTCATGTTAAAGTGACTGCTTGATTTGCCCCAATGCTGTAATATAACGTGTCAGCCTTATTGTAGCAAGCGAGTGCATGCCCTCATATACAATGCACAATTCCCCCCCCTCCCCCCTCCAAATCCAGCTGCTGGAAATTGGTTTGTGCGTTATATGTGAGGAAATGCAGCCATAGGAGTTTCTGCCTCTGCTATGGTGCTGCGGGTCTCGAGCTGCTGGCTACGGACACTCGCTCTTTTCTCCGGCACGTTAGATGGTTGGGAACTGGGATCTTTTGAAACTGCTGTTCTGCGGGGACTGCCCAAATGTGGCCCTGCTCTTCTGCTTCAGAAGATGGTTCAGGAGGTCAGAACTTCTCATACAAGGGAAATTCCAGGTTTCTTGGATCCCAGCACTGAGGTGGAAGCTGCTAGATACGGCAGGGACCTTAGGTGTGACTTTGCTTTCTACCTCCCCGCAGGCTTTGCTTTCTAAAGTGTAACATGGAAACAGGAGAGGTGTCCCATGGACAAGCACCCCACGTTCCCACAAGTGTCAGGCGGCAATGGCATTTTTGCAGGGGAGGTTGTGCTAATCTGAGCTGGGTCACTCTCTGAGCCGTTCAGTATTAAAGTCTCTCTTTCCTGTTCTGCTCAGGATCTCTGTGTGTGATGAAGACAAGTTTGGCCACAATGAGTTTATTGGTGAAACAAGATTTTCTCTGAAGAAACTCAAACCCAACCAGAAGAAGAACTTCAACATCTGCTTGGAGAGAGTAATACCGGTAAGATTCGTGAAGCCCTGTTATGCTGGGTGCATGATCTAGCACGTGTTAGGCTTCGGGGTGAAGGTGTATTTGCGACTCAAATGGCTACATCTGATCCTCACAGATATTTGGATGTCTAATTCCATCTGAAATAAATGGGAGTAAGGCTCCTAAACACCTTTGAGCACCTGGGCCCTATGAATGTCAAGGTCTCTGAGGAGTTGTTCACAATCGCAGAAGCCGGTCCCTGATCTCAGTCCCAGCCATGTCAGTCCAAAATAACTTCACTGGCGACCGTCACTAGCATAAGAACTTGGCCTGATGCGTGTCCTGGGCACAGACGTGATGTGCCAGCTCCTCAGTGCATTTTGTCCCGCAGATTAATGCATCTCGATTTTAGAAGCTGTTAAAAAGACCAAGCTTCGTAGTGACGCAGATGGAGGAAACGTTTGGTTTCCAGCCCACATGCTGGCCCTGAGAGGCCGTGCTATTTCTGCAGTAGGCGGCTGAGCTCCATTGTGACAGCTACATCTTTCTTGTGCCATGTCCGCGGTGTGCTTTGATGGGCATTACTTCTCCTGCTGCTCCCAAGGCATGAACACAGCATCAACCTGTTGTTCCTTTGACCCATAGCAGCAGAGCAATTGTTGCAAACCCGGAGCTGCGGGGGCATGTACACACGGCACAAACACCCCGAGCGAGGCTGTAGTCGAGCTGGCTGGGATTATTTTGGGGCAAGAACAGAAACTTTCTATGGAAATGGATTGATTCTGGGGGAGGGGTTTGCTGAGATGGGTTCAGAGGTTCTTGATTAGGAGAGAGCGGCGGCATAACGGCACAGACTAGCCTGCAGCCCAGCAGGTGGATGTCCCGCTAGGATCATTGGGCACCTGGATTCAAGTCCCCTGTTTGTCTGATTTGAAGGTGGGATTTGAAACCGCATCTCAACATCCTGGCTCAGTACACCAACTGCTGGGTTATTGTCTTGTCTGGGGGAGCTTGTTCTTGCTTTCACGTGAACGGTTTCAAAGATCATTTTATGCTCCAAGACACAATGACCAAAACTCCTCCAAAAACCCTAAAAAATAATTCACGAATTGCAATTCTCTTTTTTCCAGCCAGCCCTTAGTGTGTGGCTGCCTGTCTCCTTCACAAATACGAATGTTAATACTTTGCTGGTGTCTCTAGCATTGGTTCTTGCAATAAATTAATTTATAGGAAGGCCTAGAGAGGCACCACGTACCCCTGGAGACCTCTGAAAGCTTATGGGAATGAATTCCCATTTCCATCTCTGGAGATCAGTGCCACATGTGGGTTTGACACATAGGCCACCAGCAGCTGCGTCCTCCAGCCTGGGCAGTTGTTAAAGGAAACCTTTGTCTTTGTTCCTTCCTACCCCCAGATGAAACGTGCTGGGACAACCGGCTCGGCGCGTGGGATGGCGCTATATGAAGAAGAGGTAAGAGGCTGCACTGTCTTCATCCGCGCTGGCTCTGGGTTGCAGGGGGCTGCACTTGCCCTCCTCCTGATGATGCTCGTGAGCCAGCAGTGATGCTTTCCAGCTTTGATCCTGAGGCTTCATGGCTGTTGGTTACACGGAGAGGGCAGCAATGGGGTGAAGCTCATCCCAGGACTGCTCTGCTTTTCTGTGCTCAGCCGTGGGAGTGAGGAACACCTCCATGCTCAGACCCAGCTACCCTGGGGTGGGACCCAAGGTCATTCCTGGGACCCAGATTTCGCCTTTGGGAACTACCCAAGTCAGTGGGGGTGGGGGGTATGTCTATCTGCATAGATCCAGTCGAACCATGGAGATGTTGCTGGACTCAGAAATGAGTTTCTTCGAATTCTTGGCGGAGCTGGAAGACTCCAGCTCCCCCCCTACCCACATGTATCCTCCCTGCTTTTGCATTTCAAATGTCAAGTGATAAGTGGGAAGGGTTAGCAAATAACTATCAATTGATCAGTTTGCTCCAGGCAACTCTGTGACTTCGGAAGGAGGGAATGTTTCTTGTGAGATCTCTCTCCCCTTTCTGCCTCTGGGACATCTGCTTGCAAAATGAGCTTTGTGATTTTAGCCTTGTTCCAACCTGAAATGGAGAATGAAGCTTTCAGTGTATGAAGACCGGTGGAGCAAAGCTAGCTACAATAGTCCTGGATGGGGCCTGCTGAGCTAACGCCCGTCTCTGCCGAGCTCAAGCTTTTAAAGCTTTATCAAATAGAGAAAAGACGACAATACCAACAAGTACCAGAATAACTGCAGCAGGTTTTCCTGCATGTTACAGTCCTAGGTTTTTAAGCACTGCCTTCCTCTGCAGTCTCGTTTTGCAGCCATTAAAAGCTTTTTCTGGGTTCATTTCCTCTTTCCTATGCATTGCACAATGCTGTCCCAGCCTGCTGGATTCCCAGCGAGGCCTGTCTCGTAGCCAGGGCCCAGATCCCCAGTCCTTGCTCAGACCTCTGGCTTCCTCTTGCAGGTAGAGCGTGGCAGCGAAGTGGATGAGCGAGGCAAGATCCTGGTGTCTCTCATGTACAGCACCCAGCAGGGCGGCCTGATCGTCGGCATCGTACGCTGTGTGCACCTGGCCGCGATGGATGCTAATGGGTACTCGGACCCCTTCGTCAAACTGTGAGTGGAAGCAGAAGGGTGCCAGCATTCAGGAGGACAGATGTAAGGAGGGCAAGAGGCCAGGTCTGGCTTATAGCACAGACACTGTCATGTAGTGTTGGAATATGCCACTTCTGTTTGGAGCTAGGAATATCACTGACCAAGCCAGAGCAAAGCACAGTAATGGGTGGGAGAGATGTGTTATGTTCAGTTTTGTCCTAAACCAGCAGCCTCACCAGCTTAATTGCAACCGTGGGATCTTTGGGCTGGCAGAGACGTGGCACATCAGCCTGTGTAACACGGTGCTGCCCCTCCATACCTTATAGAGGTCTACGCTGCAGTCATCCCAGTGGCCCCAGCATACGTGAGCTTGCTTGGCCCTACCCAGGTCTGGCACCAAGAGCTGTGGCATTGTGGGTTCAACGTGAGCTTGAGGATGTACTTGAGATGCAGGGTAATATAGCCCACAATGAGACCTGTGCAGCCCCAGCTAGAGTGCTGCCTGCACCCGGCTAGCTCAGGTCTGCCTACACGATGGGGCCGTGACTCTGGTGTCAGAGACGTGCTCCAGGAGACAAATAGATGCATGTGCCCTTTCGATGCATTTCACACCCAGGGGGTTCCAAGATTTGCTTCTGATTTTTGACTCCGTGAGGCCCCTCAGTATAAAACAGCTGTAGCAGAGGGGAGGATGAGACTTGAACTAGCAGGGCCCATCTCTTCTGACAAAGCCGTGAGTTGTAGCCATCGAGTCATCTTGCCATTAGCTGGGGGGGGAGTAGTGTAGTGTGTGGTCATTCT